ATACATTGTTAAACGTCACAAAAGAGAAAGTTCAGTCTACTTTACATGTTAAAAGAGTGGGGGGTCTCAGTGGATACATTGTAGCGCCCGATCACAGTGCTTAAGGGATACAAAGTAACCAATCCGCGCCTGCAGTCCAGCCAGTAGCCCAAGGTGGGCAGCATCCTTTTGTTCCTGATACCTGCTTTCAGCCTACGTGAGGTCTTGCAGGTATCGAAACTCCTTTGCCTACGTGAGGCTTGGCATATATCAAAACTCCTTTGCCTACGTGAGGCTTTGGCATATGCCCAGGCTATTAGATGTGGATTCGCTGCTGCACTCCTAATTGGGAATACCTCAACAGAGAGTATGTTTTTAACTGCCACATCGCATTACATCGGTTAGATGTATTATTTGTCAGAAGGGCCTCTGGTGGAAGGAAATTTTCCATCTGTGCCTCTCCGTGTTTATGGGTTGCAATATGCCAGGAGAAGGTGGTGGCCATGCCAGCATGCACAGATTGTCCTCCTTGAGAGATGATGCCAACTTTCCCCAACCCAGTCCTTTCCAGATGCATGGCTTTATCCCTGCAGCTTAAAATTTGGTGAATTATAGGTAGTCCTCGGCTTATGACCACAATGGGGAGAAGAGTTTTCACTGCTAAGCATTGCTGAATGAATTGTTCCAGATTTTATGAGCTTCGTTGCCGTGGTTATTAAGTGAATAGCTGAAGTTCTTAAGGCAGGAATGTCAAACTCGTTTTCATTGAGGGCCGCATCAGGGTTGTGTTTGACCTTGGAGGGGCAGGTGACATGGCTAGGGTGGCCGTGGCCAGCTTGACAGCACTTATGTCAGGGCGTCTCTGGCAGCCCAAGTGCTCTGTCAGCAAAAACGGAGCTCAGGAGGGCTGTGTGCAGCCCTACCGAGCTTCATTTTCACTGGCACAGGCTGGTCCTTCGCTGTTTCTAGGTTAGCCTTGTAGGCCAGATCTAAGCACCCCACAGACCGGATCTAGCCCACGAGCCTTGAGTTTGACACCACTGTGTTAAGGGAATTTTTTTAAAAAATCCAGCTTCCTCAAATGACTTTGCTGGTTGGAAAGTTGCATATGGTGGTTACATGACCCAGGGACATTGCAACCATCATAAATACTTGCCAGTTGCCAAGCGGCTAAATTTTGATCATGTGACCACAGAGATGCTGTGATGGTTATAAGGACCGGTCAGAAGTCCCCTTTTTCACTGCCATTGTAACTTTGAATGGTTGCTAAACCAATACAGGTAGTCCTGGACTTACAACAGTTCATTCAGTGGCCATTCAAAGTTATAACATCCCTGAAAAAAGTGATTTAATGATTGTTTTTCACCCTTACAACCATTGCAGCATCCCCATGGTCATGTGATCAAAATGTGGATGCTTGGCAACCGGTTCATATTTATGAAGGTTGCAGTCTTCCGGGATCATGTGATCCCCTTCTGTGACCTTCTGACAAGCAAACCCAGAGGGGAAGCTGGATTCACTTAACAACCCTGTTACTAACTGGACAACTGCAGTGATTCACTTAACAAATGTGGCAAGAAAGGTCATAAAATGGAGCAAAACTCACTTAACAAATGTCTCACTTAGCAACAGAAATGTTCGGCTCAGTTGTGGTCATAAGTCGAGGACTACTGTAGTCTTCATCCAACTGGAACAGTGGCCCCACAACTTTTTGGTCACCAGTTGTGTGGAGAGAGGTTTTTCTGTGAACTGGGTGGGTGTGGTTTCATGTCCCACAGGTGGGACTTTGCTTGTTTATGCGGCCTGGTTTCTGGCATGCCGTGGCCCAGTGCAGGTCCACGGACCAGGTGTTGGGGACCCCTGATCTGGAAGACACCTTGCTGGAGGGAAAACTGAACTTTAGCGGATCTCTGCTTTGAATATGCAGCCAATGTGATTTAAGATTAAACAGGTAATCTTGGAGTTACGATCACAATTGAGATACATATTCTTTAAAAGAAAAATTTAAAATGATCTTCTGATGTACTGCAGCGGTGGTATTCAGCATCGGTTTGGGTGAACTGGCGACAGAGCAGCCAGCACAAGGGAAGGAGGAAGCTGCTTTCCCTCTTTCTTCTCCCTGCTCTTCCTTCCCTCATGCGAGCTGCTCCGTTGCCCATTTCTCCATTGCAGTGCAGCTCCCAGGATCCACTTTGATAGCCGGGGGGGATTTAACAACCAGTTCACCCATGGTTAGGTTGGCCATTGCAGGAGGTTTGTCCTGCATGTGCAGCAGAGCTGGAGGATGGGGATGCGCCACGCCTCCCACAACAGCCAACCTAACCCTGGGTGAACCAGTTGTTAAAATTATTTGAATCCCACCACTCATGTACTGCCTGTGTTTTTCATCTTCTACCTATCTTGTAGACAGGTAGTCCTTGAATTACAACAACCTTTGAGCCCAACATATATACAGGTGAAACTTGAAAAATTAGAATATCGTGCAAAAGTTCATTTATTTCAGTAATGCAACTTAAAAGGTGAAACTAATATATGAGATAGACTCATTACATGCAAAGCAAGATAGTTCAAGCTGTGATTTGCCATAATTGTGATGATTATGGCTTACAGCTTGTTATGTATATGTAAATAAAGTAGTTGGGTTGACAATATATAAACTACAAATATATATGTTTGTAGCTTTAAGGAAAAATAGTGTAATGTATTATGCTGTGTTCTGGTTGGTTAATTATGCTACAAGTTGCCATAAGAGGGAGCTATAGATCATGGTTTGACTCTCTTTTCCACTGATGATCTCTCTTGATACTGATACTGAATGACTACAGACCGATATTGACTAACCCTGTTTATTTTGATATTCTGTTGATATTGAAGTTTATTTGTTGTATTATGGTTTGATATTTGTCTGCTGTAAAAGACATGGAACCGGTAAGAAGACTTTATAACTAGATGTAAGAAGACTTTATAACTGGATATTTCTGGACTGTTAAAAACGTGTATGACATGGACTGTTTATTGGACTGTGCTATTTCTTCAAGTAAACATTAACACAACTTGTTCAACTCTGTGTGGCTGTATATTTCTTCATAACTGTTCTCATAAACCGTTTTCCGTGTGCATATCCTTTTTATACAAGGGTTACTCTGCACATATCCTAACACAGCTCATGAAAACCCCTAATCCACAATCTCAGAAAATTAGAATATTACTTGCAATAAATAAAACAAGGATTGTACATAGAACAATATCGGACCTCTGAAAAGTATAAGCATGCATATTTACTCAGTCATTGGTTGGGGCCCCTTTTGCAGCAATTACTGCCTCAATGCAGTGTGGCATGGAAGCTATCAGCCTGTGGCACTGCTGAGGTGTTATGGAAGACCAGGATGCTTCAATAGCGGGCTTCAGCTCTTCTTCATTGTTCGGTCTCATGTCTCTCAGTTTTAATTTTATTCTCGCTTTCTTGCTTTGCCATATATATTTCAACACAATTTTATTTAAATCTTCAAAGTAATCTTTCCCAAGCCTAATTGGAATTGTTTGAAACAAATATAAAATTCTGGGTAATATATTCATCTTGATTGTTGATATTCTCCCTGTTAATGACAGTTGTAAATTTTCCCATTTCACCAAATCTAGCACTATCTGCTGTTTAAGTTTGATATAATTATTATCTTTTAGTGTACTGCATCTTGCTGTCAAGTATATCCCCAAGTACTTGATAATAAGAATTAATTAAAAAAAGAAAAAGATATTTTTTAAAAAATAACTAAAAGGGAGTCTCTGGCTTAGAATATTATAAAGTCAAAAAGGAGAAAAGAATAGATAAAAAGAAGAGAAAAAAACCAGTCCAGTTTCAAAATATAAGATCATGTGTAGAAAATCCAGCAATGAGAAAAAAAATAAAAATATTACTTTGACATTCCTGTTTAAAATCGCCGCTTAATCACTTCTGTCAAAACTTTTACAGATTATTTCTTTCCCTTAGGGTGTCCTTTCAAGTCTTAAAATAAAGAAAAAGTTCTCACCAAACCGGTACACTCTCTCTTTCCGTTCTCTTTCATTTCAAAGCTGTCCCAACTTCAGCAGCTTTAATGGCTGCCTCTTTGGCAAAAAGAGCTTCTCCTGGATCTACCAGGGACTTTGCGATATCCCTGGGATCGATAGAATGCACTCTTTACATTCACCGTCTCTTCAGGATGGTTTAAATCCACTTGGACCGTCCAGGAGCAAAGGTATCGGCAGCGATCTCAGACCTCTGGGATCGCATGCCGTATCGTTGCGATGCCAGCTCCGCCCTCCTCCACATAACTTTCTATTAATGTGCTTTGATACAGCACTTTGGGAACATCCAACTTCTTTTACAATTACCTTTTGAGGCTTTCCCTCCTTATGGAGGGTGTCATTGATGGTTTTCTGTACAACTGTCAGGTCAGCGGTCTTTCCCATTATTGTGCTTCCTACTGAACCAGACTGAGAGACCATTTAAAGGCTCAGGAACCCTTTGCAGGTGTTATGGCTTAATTAACTGATTAAAGTGGGACACTTTGAGCCTAGAATATTGAACCTTTTCACAATATTCTAATTTTCTGAGATTGTGGATTTGGGGTTTTCATGAGCTGTAAGCCATAATCATCTCAATTATGACACATCACGGCTTGAACTATCTTGCTTTGCATGTCATGAGTCTATCTCATATATTAGTTTCACCTTTTAAGTTGCATTACTGAAATAAATGAACTTTTGCACGATATTCTAATTTTTTGAGTTTCACCTGTATATATGTTGTAAGTGACTTTTTTCAGTGCTATTGTAACTTTGAACAGTTACTAAATGAACTGTTGTGAGTCAAGGACTATCTGTACTAAGTCTTTATCTGTCGTCAGTTTTTTATGTTCCTGTATTATTATTATTTTTACAAATCTGGACTTAACAACTTTCTCTTTTTTTTCTTTTACATTTCTAGGAGACACTGGGGGTGACTCCAGCCCCTTCTCCTGACCTTCCTGTCATATCATCTTCAAGGACCTCTCCGAGTTATCCACTCACACCACTACTTGTTTCTCAGAGTGAGCCCCCAGTTCAGCTGGACTTGTGACCACTCCCACCACCGGCCAGGAGCACTCCAGCGTCTGCTCCTCATCCTCCTCTTCCGTTGAGGTCCACCCCGAAAGGTCCACAAGCATGGATGTGGAACCTGGGCCCTTGTTGACTGAGCCAAGCCAAGAGCCCGCCTCTTCCCGGCCCCCTCCTCCGTCACCCCCAACCTTGCCTCCCCCCACCACTCTCCCCACCGGGCATCTCAACATCCCTCTCATCCTGGAAGAGTTGCGTGTTCTGCAACAACGCCAGCTCCATCAGATGCAGATGACAGAACAGATCTGCTACCAGGTGTTGCTCTTGAGTTCGTGGGGGCAGGTTGGGGCTCTGGCCCCTACCACAGAACCTGCTTCGGTGGTGTCTGCCCCACCCAAGCCCCCTTTGCCCGTCTTTTCCATCAAGACTGAGCCTGGGAGGAGCCAGGTGTCCGCCTCTCCAGATTTACCAAAGCCGGCATTCTTCCATCTCTACCACCCGTTCCCTGGTGGCACCAGGGTGCCCAAAGCTGAGCAGCTCCTGGCTCCAGCCTTCCCTACATCCACAGGTGTCTTGGCAGCCCAGTGCTTAGGGACTGCCCAGGGTCTGGAGCAGGCCACATCTCCAGGACTATTGCAACAGAAGAACGGAGGAGGCGGGGGAGGAGGAGGAGGAGAACCCAACTTGGAAGGTGAGAAACCAAGTGGCCGCCACAAATGCCATTTCTGTGGGAAGATCTTCGGCAGCGACAGTGCCCTCCAGATCCACCTGCGCTCCCACACCGGTGAGCGTCCCTACAAATGTAACATTTGTGGGAACCGTTTCACCACCCGAGGCAACCTTAAGGTCCATTTCCATCGTCACCGGGAGAAGTACCCCCACATTCAGATGAACCCTCATCCAGTCCCAGAGCATTTGGACTACGTCCTGACCACTTCGGGCCTCCCTTACGGCATGTCTGTGCCGCCTGAAAAAGCTGAGTCAGGAGAGGACCACAGGGCCCTCCCTGCAGCTGAGCGCAAGGCCCTGAGTGCCACTGAGAGTCTGACCGTACTGTCTGGCACAGCTCCTTCGGCTGCGGCTCAAGCTTTGCCCAATTTCAACAACCTGGTCCTGATGAAGATGGTAGAAGCCAAGGGGAAGGGGGACGAGAACACCCCTCCTGAATCAGAGGTGGAGGGGGCCCGTCTTCAACTGGGGAAACTTGTGGGGGCCTTGCCCAGCTGGGCTCTGTTGTCCAATCACTTCAAAGCAGGCCCAGCCATGGGGCCCTTCCCCTACGTCCTGGAGGCCTCTCCCTCTGAGACCTCCAAGCTTCAGCAGCTGGTAGAGAAGATCGACCGCCAAGGATCCTCATCCTCGGGCACGGCCTCCGTGGCCCCATCCACAGCCGGCTCCTTGATGTCGTCTTCTCCGGCAACTTCAGGGCCTAATCAATGTGTCATCTGCTTGAGGGTCCTCAGCTGTCCCCGAGCTCTGCAACTTCACTATGGGCAGCATGGGGGTGAACGCCCCTTCAAGTGCAAAGTCTGTGGGCGAGCCTTCTCCACTCGGGGGAACCTGAGGGCTCACTTTGTGGCCCACAAAACCAGCCCGTCATCCCAAGCACAAAACTCTTGTCCCATCTGCCAGAAGAAGTTCACCAACTCCATGAGCCTCCAACAGCACGTCCGAATGCACCTGGGTGGGCAGATCCCCAACGGAGCTCTCCTGCCTGAACCTTCAGCCCCAGAGGGGGCCCCATTGGGAGAAGGGGAGAAGCCACGGGAGCAGCCACCTGCCCCCCAGGAGGAGGGGCTGTTGGAGGAGGATGAAGAAGAGGAGCCCACTGACGAAGACTCAGTGGAAAGCATTGGAGAAAAGGCAGAGCAGGTCTCCAGCCCTGAAGGTCTGGGTCCTCCCAAGGAAGGGGAGGAAATGGGGCAGCCTGAGGGGGAAGAGGGAAGACCCGGAGTACTCTCCTCCTCCCCACTGGGGCCCCAAAGTCCTCTCTGCCCCTTGAAGGATGGGGAAGAGAAGGCCTATATGGAAGAAGATGATGGTGGAATTGCCCCGGTGAAAGAAGAACCAGAGAAGGACAAAGGAACTGGTGGAGAAGGTCTGTCCAAGAAGCAGCAGCATCAGGGCAGCCAAGCCAAAGAGGAACCAGTGCTGATCTGTGGGATTTGCAAACAGCCCTTCACCGACAGGACGGCCTTGCACAAACATGCAATGACTGTCCATCCCCAGGTAAGAAATTAAGGCAGTGGGATAGGGGACACCTGGCTTCCTTTGCCCCCTTGTGGTCTTGGATAGGAAGGTATCTTCCCTTGTGTGCTCTCTGTTGCCCTCTAGAGGTGTTCTTGACATTCTTCCTATGGATTATCCAGTTTTTCTTTAAAGACATTTCGCTTCTCATCCAAAAAGCTTCTTCAGCTCAATGATGAAGATGCTTCTTGGATGAGAAGCGAAACCTCTTCAAAAGAAAAAACAGAAAATCCATTTGCCTCTTGAAAAAAGAACCTTTGGGACAACCATGACGTGGATGACTGAGACTCTCCATAAGACATCTTCCTATGGATGTTCTCCAGATGTGTGGTGCCACAATTCTCCCATGATTTGCAGTTCAGCAGGATGAGGCCTTCATAACCTTTGTGTTGGGTATCACTGTGGGCCAACCTTCCCTAGCCTGGTGCTCTATAGTCCACACCACCCTCAGTGCAATGGGGAGAATAGGTTCTGTAGGTAGAAACAGAATTGTTTGGCCTCTTGATGGGAGACTAGCAAGGAATCGAGAACTGTAGACAGGGAAGTCAAAAAATTGGATAGACAACTTCCATGCTGTTCCTGAGGATACCCCATAGATGTCCTTCACCATCTTTTACTTTTATGCCATTTCTGATTATGGGCAAAATTTATATGCTGCAACTTCCTAGGTTCCTTGCTTAAACTGTACCTCACCTTGAAATAATCCCCAGAAATCCGGACTGCTTCCGGTAGCAGGACAGGGAGAACGGAGGTGAAGAAGACTGTCGCAGTCTTTGAACACCTTTTCTGGTGCCAGGAGCGATCCCCCAGGGATATACGAACCCCGGAGAGGTTCGTGTCAACGTGGAGAACCTCGAGCTGCAGAGGGGGGAAGGCAACCCCCCAACAGTGAAGAGGGAAGCTCCCGAGCCCGGCGCAAAAGAGTAAGCTGTCATTCTATGGCGGCTTCAAGTCCGGTCTGCCACTTGAGTGAATAAGCAAAGCAGTGACAGCCTGCAAGGCCGAGAGTAACAGGAACAGAGAAACGGTTTATAACTTGGATCCTTTGAAGACTGAAGAGAGCAGAATGACAGAAGAATGACAGCATAAATTCTTGTCTCCTGGTTGTGATTAGCACCTCTCAGAAGTCGGGCGGAAAGCGGCCAGAAAAGCAGTTGGGAAAATGAAAGGATTATAATGGAGAGCGGAAAAGCCTAAGCACAAAAGTGAAAGCACAGATTTACCCTGTGAAAGGGAAGCTCTGGGGAAAGAGGGAGATTGCTAAAACCAGGAGATTGGAGGTCCGGAATTGGTGAGGGGCTTCATCTGATTTTTGGACCTTTCTTTTTGACTTTACTTGAGAAGAGGGAGGCGACGGAGGTGAAAGAATACTGACATTGATTGAGTCTTATGAATCCTCAGATCTGAGCACAACATGACTATTACATCTATTTAATACTGTGGAGAAGACAAACGGAGCATTATATTGGACTTTGGAAGATTTGTATGTTGATTTAAAAGTTGGAAAGCAAAGAAAGAAGCAGCAAGAGGAAGAAAGCAGAGGCGAACAGAAGGCTGGGAAAGACGGTTTGGGGACTGCAGATTAGTCAGCACATTACACCATTTGCTGATTGGAAGGCTGAAAAGAATTCTCTAGCTGGAAGATGGACTTTTAGCTCACCCAACTTGCTTTCTTTATTACGTGGTATTACTTACCGTATTTATCGGCGTATAACACGCACAGGCGTATAACACGCATTCCCTTTAATATGCGGCGGGCGCAGCGTCATGACGCTGCGCCGCCGCTAGGCACTATTGGGAACGGGACATCGGCGTATAACACGCATACATCATTTGCCCCCTATTTTCAGGGGGAAAAAGTGCGTGTTATACGCCGATAAATACGGTAATATTACTAGTTTGGCACTACTTTCTCCTTAAGATGACTTCCTTGCTTTTTGTTTGTTGATTCTCTGAAGCTGTGGTAATCTCTCTCCTACCCTTTCTCTTATTGTTTTGCCCCCGCCTCCCTATTGTATCTCCTAAATAGCTTACATAATTCTACTTATTTGGGGGGAAAAAAAGAGGGGGGTATACTATTATTATAGAGTTAAGAGATTACTGTTGTAAGTATTAATAGTAAAGAGGGATAAACTCTGTTGATATAAACTATTTATAAATTATTTAGACTACTTAAGACATTTAAGATTAATTCCTTAAAGTGTTAATTGATGTACTATTGCTGACCAATTTTCTTATTACATAGACTAGAATACTGTAGCAGATATCTATTTATGATATAGGGGAAAAGACTGTGGAGTGAGATATTAAATAGACTTTCAAATACAAGACCCAAACACTGAATGGTGATTTGGGATAATATATCTAAAATTGTGCATCAACAAAAACAAATACTTAGAGAGATGACATCCACGACAACTATGGCCTTAAAAACAGGAAGGAAGGCTACCCCGACCCTATCGACTACGTTGACACCCACCCCACCAACAACTCAAAAAACTATTGAGGAGTCCTTAACAGGGGAAAAGCAGCCTAATGTCCCCAACATTAATATACAAACTTCCCTATTATCCTTGCAGGAAGCTATATCTAAAATGCAAGAAATGATGATTAAAAATCACAATGAAACTAGAGCAGATATAAGCGAATTGAAAGATGAGATGGGGAAACTGAAGGCTGAAATGAAAGCGGATATATCGAAGGTAGAGGGTAAGATAGGGTCTCTACAGCAGGCCATGGAGAAAAACGAAGTGAAAATAAAAGATATAGAGAGTAGAACAACACGCATGGAGACTAACTTTGAAAGGATGGATGAGGAATTTAAAAATGTACTTAGAGAAATGGAAGACTCACTGGTCCACCTCGAGATGGACAAAGCAATGGCGTATTTAAGGTTCCAGAATGTGGCGGAAGCAAAAAATGAAGAATTGGAACATTTGATGGCAGAAATATTGGCTGAATGGCTAGGAAAGGAAAAAGATGATCTAATTAAAGAGTTTGATGAGGTATATAGGGTTAGCACAAGCTACGCCAGACACAACAACTGTCCAAGAGAAATCCATATCCGCTTCTCTAGGAGATGTCTGAGGGATTTAATTTTGAAAATGTCTAGGGAGGAAACAATATCATATAAAGGCAGAGAAATTATGATTTTAAAACAAATTCCAAAGAAAGTGAGGATGATAAGACAAGATTATAAATTTCTAGCTAATGATTTAAATAAAAAAGGAATCCAATTTAAATGGTTAATCCCGGAAGGGATGTTAATTACGTGGAAAGAGAGGAAAATCAAAATAGAATCGATAGAACAGGCCCAAGATTTTTATCAACAGCTCACGGATACGAATGGTCAATCCACTAAAGAAGAACTTAAAAGGAGACCACAGGAGGACCGATATCATCACAGAACCCAAAAGGAACGACTTTCTCCAATTTCAGGAAGTGATAAACCACAACCTGGGAGAGAAGAGCAAATCCCACAACAACAACAACAAGAGAACCGAATCATTACTAGGCAAAAATCTAAGCAGACGTAGATAAATGGTGGAGGGGAAGAAGTTGCTCTCCATCAATATAAACGGATTAAATTCAATATCAAAAAGAAAAAGGATATTTTCAAAACTTATTCGACATAACGCAGATATAATATGTCTTCAAGAGACACATATTTCGAAAAATGATGAAAGACATCTAATTTGTCCAAAATTAGGGAAACTTTTTATGGCACCAGCCGATAAACACAAGAGAAAAGGAATTGCAATTTACGTAAAACAAGATGTAAAGGCAGAATTAACCTGGTCGGATCCCGAAGGAAGAACTCTGGTTATACAAGTTTGGATAAACCACATCACATTTTTTCTTGTAGCAATCTATGCCCCAAATGAAGACCAAGGGAAATTTTTTAAACACCTCCACCATTTGCTTGATTGGCGATTTTAACTCCATTGCAGACTACCAAAAAGACCATAGTAATATGGGAAAAAACAAGAAGGGGAAAAGGGAACTTTCTGCGACATGTAAGGAAATGATGAAAGAGTTAAATTTAAAAGATTTATGGAGGGAACGGAATCTTGAAGAGAAACAATTTACATACTATTCTAATCCACATAAGACTTGGACTAGAATAGATATGGCTTGGATGGATTTGGATTTGGCTAATGAAATAAAAGAAATTAAAATCCTACCAAATGAATGGGCTGACCACAACCCAATACAGCTAATTTGGAGAGATAGGAGAGGAATAAAAAAAAGATGGACACTCAACACCCAAATAGTAAATGAAGAAGAGTATATTAATAAGCTGAAAGAGGAGCTAAACTATTTCCTAAAAGATAATAATAATGAAACAACTTCAAAACAGAATATTTGGGATACTATGAAAGCAATTATAAGAGGTACAACAATTTCCTATAATGTTATGAGAAACAAGAGAACTTATGCCCGACAAAACGTATTACAACAACAAATCAAAGACTTAGAAATACAATTACAAAAAACCCCTAAGATCCAAGGAATACAAAACCAGTTAATATTAGCCAAACATAAGCTGAATTTAATTGAACAAGATAAAATAGAAGTTAGCTTGAGAAGGTCCAAACAAAATTATTTTGAACACACCAATAAACCAGGAAGATGGCTATCTTATAAACTTAAAAAAGAAAAAGAAAAGAGACTGATACACCAACTAATAGACGAGAAAGGCATACCACAACATGAGATTGAGAAGAAAAAAGATATTATATTAAACTATTTTCAAAGATTATATAAAAAAGAAGAAATCAATGAAGACAAAATAAGAACTTATCTGGAGAATACGAATGATAAAACAATAGGAGAAGGAGACAAAGAATTATTAAATAAGGATATTACATGGTCTGAGTTGAAATCTGCAATGGAGAATCAAAGTAATAATAAATCTCCTGGTCCAGATGGGATTCCAGTAGAATTGTACAAAGCCACAATAGAGTTAGTAGGGCCACTGA